ATACGCACTTACATTTTAGTGAATTTTGAACTAATAACAAAGAATTTATTTTATAGTCTCCAGTTCTTACCACCCGATACTACCTCTACCTCTATTAAATAAAGTTAAATTTCAATCTTTTTGAAAAGGTTTAGTATCTAATGAAAAAAAATTTTTTTTTCTATCCAACTGCTACATGTATTTCTACAAACGTTTACAGCAATCTTCCGTCAGTTTTATCTTTGCAATTTTGGCAAAAGTAGCCAGAAGATTTGCCCAAATCGATACCAAAAATTTACCGTAGAAAACCAAAATAAACGCAAAGCTGCTTCCTGAATTTTGGTCGCTGCAACTAAAATTGCAGGCATCGACTCGAGTTCGTTAACATTTGATTAAACCGAAGTATTTTTTTGGCTCCATTGCAGCTAAATATCCTGACTAATGCATTTCGAATGTCCTTCCGTGTACGTGTGCAGCGTACGTAAAAGCGCATGTTAACGTGGCCAAAAAGTAAAAGTGCATTGGCAGGAGTAAAAGTCAACAAATACTTTTTGCCCGTACGCTTGTTTGCTTCGCAGTTTGTTTATTTGTTGTTGTTGTTGTTGTTGTTGCTGTTTCTGTGTTGTCGCTTGTTTTGTTGCATAATGTTGACGCTGTTTGGTCAATGGTCAATTTGGTAGCCATTTATTTCGATTGTTGTGCATCCGGTGCAGTTTGTGCAGTTTGTGTAGTTTGTGGAGTTTATCCTGTGCAGCAAGAATGTTACTCAGCACGCATTAGCATTGAAGCAGTTGGAGTAATGCACAAAAACGTTTCTGTGGTTTCAGTTTGTGTCGACTTCATTATTTTTTGGTTTTTCAATGTTTTAGGGCTTGTAGGCTTTTCTGGTTTTTTTTTGTATTATTAAACACTAATTTATTAGGTAAATTTGTTCAAAGGTTTTGGACATTAAAGACTTTAAAGGTACGGTTTATAAGCACGTACCTTTTAAAATTTGTGGATAATGTTGGAATAAAATACTTACATGCAATTACAGCTCATACCTTCAGCTTTTTTATAATGTAAATAAAACTTTTTAGTGAATTAGCATTACTAAAACCCTTTTCGATTGGTAAAACTGGAGTAAAAAGTTACTCCAGAAACGAATCGAGATTCACTTATAGTGCTATATTCATTCTCGATTGATAAATCGCGAGTGACATGTATAACACTCGAGATTAATTTATAACACTCTAGATATTTCACCCGAGTAGTAAGATTACACTGAAATTAACAGTTACTTTACATACCTTGACAATTAAAATGTAATTTGGTTCGATATAGGTTAGGTTAGGTTCGGAAGGCGCGTGCTGCCAATTGTCAGTACTTCCACTCGGAGGCATATTTTGCCCATTGTGATGCCCTCAAAAAATTTTGCCGGGAGAGGCGAGTTGCTAACCTTTATGATCCCTGTTAAACCATTTGGTTTTCCAGATGAAGTTGAGAAGATCCGATAAGTTTACTTTCGTTATCTCGTCCAAACCAGTGAAAAAGCGATCTCCGAGACATTGAAGTCGCCTTGTTTGGTTCGATATACTAATAGATAAATATATTAAATCTATTAACACTATTACAAATATGTTAGATTATTTTTAAAATGTTCGATGACTTAGTTACTTTTTTGGTCATAACAACTAATTACCAGATTTCGGCCTGACGCAGCATGTCTCTCGAGATGCCTCTACTGCGTATGCCCCTAGTTCAGTCTCGTATATTTAGTTTGGTTAAGGTTTCCTCAACTTGTTCAGTTCACCTAAAACACGGTCTATCTTTACTTCTTCTTCCTCCAACTACTGCTTCAAAAACCTTTTTAAGTATTAAGAATTAAATTAAGACATTAAATTAGACCGGAGACACGGTCTATCTCTACACCTTCTTTCTCCAACTATCGTTTCAAATACTTTCTTAAGCTTTAAGTATTAAATTAAGACATTAAATTAGGTCGGAGACTCGGTCTATCTAACGCCTTCTTTCTCCAACTATTGCTTTAAATACCTTTTTAAGTTTTAAGTATTAAATTAAGAACTTTCTAAATAAATTAACGCGTTTAAAACCAACTTGCAATGTTGAAGTTTATTAGAAAAATTCTGTTGACCATAAATAACTCTATAATTTAACATATATCTATAAACGTACATCTTACACACTATACACAATAAAACTAATTCGAGCGAAGAACTTTATTTGGTCAATTTCATTCAGCATTTTATTGATGTTAGTATTTTGCCGCACACTCTTGTTACCAGATTTAAAAAAAGAAAAAAAAATCTTCATTTAGGGATTCATTGATATCCTTATCTGGCTAAATCCTTAGTTATTGCCAACAGCATTTTAACAAAAATTGCTACCTTTGCTTACCTGTGTACGCGCTGTTGTCATCCGCCTTGACGTCATGTGGTGTTTTCATGTTGGTCGTACGCAGACGAAATATAATGTCATTATCACCCACATGGACAATTGGACCAACTTGGTTAAGGAGCAACCAAAATGTGTCTATGAGAGTCTCCTGCCGTTGATTATATTTATTTGGAAATGTGTTTTATATTTATGCAACAAATAAATTTTGCGTGTCACAAACAAATGATAAACAATTGCTCTCCTTTCATTTGTACGTTTTATTATGTATGAAATTGCCGCACCACACATCGGTGTCCTTTTCGCAGTGTAGTCCTCCGAGTGTTAACAATTCCTGCCAGCATTGGTTCATATAACTACATGAGTGAAGGTAATGTACGTGTGCGGTAAATTGTGTAGTTATCGGTGTTAGACGTTTTTTTTTGCGGCTCACACCTTTGATCCAAGGTAAAAAAAATGTTTTTATTTAATTTGTTAAAGACACCGAAACTGAATTTTGGGTAGTCCATTTTCTATATTAATAATCAGTAACAAAGTAGTTGGGTGTTCCATTGTTGGCGCAATAGTAATTGTTATGTTCCTTATCATTGTTTGCTTTTAAATGACTGACAATTCAATTCCAAGAATCAGAGAAAATCGGAAGTAATTTTTAGATATGTCGGAAATGATTTGAAATCAAATAATTAATAAATATTTAGTCAAATATTGTCAGATTTAAAAAAAATAAAATAATCAATGAAACCACCTTACATAGATGGTTAATAAATACTACTGATAAAAAAAAATCATTCAGTAGAGATACAATATTTGAAGGTAGTGATAGTATTATATCTTGTTTGTTGCTAGTTTGTTGACTTAATAGTTTAAATATCCTAACCTCAAGGACCAAAATAGTTATTAATTTATAAAAAAATTCATTAGTCTTATTCTTTAGCTTTCTACATAAAAGTCAAAATATAAAAATTAATTTATAAAAATACAGATAAAATTATTAATTAAAATAATTATTAAATAAAAAATATATACTCTGTAGAACTCCTTATATCTTTTGTCAGTGAGATCACTGGCGTTTTATTTTTAAATTGGGCCAGATTTTAAATTATATTTGATTTTCAAAAATAAGTTGCACAAGAGTTTTATTTTTGACTACAAAAAATAATAATAATTTTTGAGTTTTTGTTTTTTAGATTTAGATTCGAAAAGTAGTGAACTACAACAACAAAAATTATTTTTATATTATTTTATTTAATTGAATTTTTGGCTGACCATACAGCTGTCTTGAGTATTGCTAAATACCGCTATCAGTACCATTATACCATTATCAGTGGTCTTGGAATTATTTTTTATATTTAATTGTTCGTAAATAATTTTTTGAGACTGCAAGTACCAAAGTTTGAACTCGCATCCTGCGAAATTTGAAGCTCAGAGTCAATATTCATTGGGCAATTTAACCAAAACTGTACTTGACTTGTATGTTCGCACTTTGAAGTTTTGTTAATTTGCTGTGAAAATTCATTAACAAATTTAATTGCTGTATTATATTAGAAGAATTAGAGATAGAAGTACATATAATGTTTCCCAATCGCTTCCTCTAACATAGGAGATTATTAGGCATCATTTATAATATTGTTAAGTTATTTAAAAAAATTTATAAAATGCCTATTTAAAAAATTTAAAAATCAATTTGAGTTTAATTAAAGTTACTTACATATTATGTATGTATATATATTTATTAAAATAAGTATTATAATATAAATATAAGTAATTTTAATTAATATTCCTATAATTTTTTTTTTTGGTACTTTATTAGAAGGCATTCGCAAATACCTCATTATCATTCGTAAATATTGACATTAAATATAATATTGTAAATATAATGACATTAATCAAATAAGCAACAAATAAAAATGTATATATACAACGTATCATATGTGTATATGTATACATACATAGCACACACAACATAATATGTTGCCTCTGTATTTAGTACACAAAGTCTTAGCAACAATAAATGTTTATACATTTCATGCAACATTTCCTTAAGCTAAGTTAAATAGCCTTTCAAAATGATTGAACTTGTAACTTTTTAATAAACATAAGAGTAATCATTTAAAAATTTTACATATAGTACATAAATGATAATAATATAATAAATTATATATATTTTCTTTGTTCGAAGAAAGTACTTATAAGATTTAAATAACTTGGGCTTAATAGGAGAGTAATAAAAATTTTTGACTATAAATATGTACCCATTGAAGTAAATGATTACTTACATATGTATGTGTGTAGTTAAATAATTGGATTTAAATGTCACTAATTATTGTAAAAATATTTATTACATTTTGCGTTCAAATATGAATCAATTAAAACTATCCATTTTCTTGTAGAGATGCAATTTAACACAAATAAAACTCTACACTTGTAGAATATTAGTTTAATTTTGGCGGATCTTTCTTAGTTTTGAGAATTTCGGCAACAGGCGACGTGTTAGCACTGTTGATGTCGGTAAAGGGTATTTGTTTCTGTAGTTGCTGTGTAGTTGCTTCAATAAGAAGAATTAATATCAAATACATTAAAATAAATAAAAAACAATTTATGTTGTTATTACTGTTGTAACAAAATAATTGTATTAAAGAAGTGTGTCTTATATTAAAATAATAAATAAAATCATAACTAAAAGTGGATGTTATATTTCTTTTGCTTTAAAATGTGTATTAACATACATAAAGTAAATTAATATAAGATTTGTAAGTTAATTGAAAATTGTTTATTAAAAGCATTATTCATAAAAAAGTGTTTCAAACATATAAGCTGTATTTACAGGCAATCACGGTAAAAAAAATACCAACAACACTGCGTACAATGCAGTCGACAGTATTCAGTGTAATCAATGAGACGTTATAGTGGTAACCGTTACAAAAACAAAAACTGTTTCACAGTTCTCATTTCCATTGAAATTTTTTTTTTGTATTTAACTGACTTTTTGCACATTTCAGAGTTGCCAATTCATTTTTTTGGCGCTTTAAAATAGTTTTTTGTGCAGTTAATTTCTTTTAGTGATTGATTACATTTGTTGAATGGAATTAAAAGTTAAAAGTTAATTTGTAGTAATTGTATTTATTTTCAAAATATATTTATGTTGTATTTTATTTAATGAATGGCATTAATAAATATTAGTTAATAAGAATTATATCAAATGACAATTAATCGCAAACTACTGTCGCTGCTGCTGCCCACTATAATTTATGTATGAGTGGGGGATTAGTTAATGTATAAATTAGTTCAGTTCAAGTAGTTTTTACTATTTTTATTATAATTGTTTTTTGTTTTTATTTATTTGTTTTTTTTTTTTTTTTTGGTAGCATATTGTGTCGCACATAAAATATTCTGCACTATTACGGACTACGCTCAGAATTTAATTTAAACAAGATTTATTATTGTCGTCGCTTATAATTATTCCGTGCTGAGTAAACAGTACTGTTAGTGTTGTTGTTGGTGGTTCTATTATTAAAAGTCTTCTTTAAGAGATTTCAACGTCTTAGAAAATAGTAGTTATGCACAAACACACAAAAGCCTTGTTAAATGACACGAAAGTGCCACAGGAAATAGCAATTTGCCTGGTTAACTTCTCATCTGAATAATTTGTGGTTTTCACTGTACGCTTAATAGTATTTTTAACGTTGTAATGGCTTTGTTTTCTGAATGAGCTTTACTAGTTTAGTAACATTAATTAATTACAATTTTTATTTTCCGCTATGATTTTTGTTGCTTTGCTATTGTTTTAGTGGCAAAATAATTTTTCCAAATTTTTTTTTCTTATTTTTTTTTCTTATTTTGTTTTATTTTTTTCTCATTTTTTCTCATTTTTTTTATTTTTTTGCAAGGTTTAATTACTAACATTTGCTTAGGCTTTTTTTCGTTTGTTGGTTTCTTTACGCAAAACATTAATTATAGTTTTTCTTGAATTTATTTTTTAAATGGTTTAAATTATATTTACCATGCTCCGTTAAATTTTATGCCTTCAAATTTTATGTGTATGAATTAGATAATATTAAAAGATTAAAATACATTATTTTTAATTTATGTGAATTTCAATAAAATTAAATTTTCTCATTGTATTTTTCTTTACCAAATATTTGGCAGCTTCAGCAAATTCCTCAAAGTAGAAAACTCCTAACAAATGAATTTTTTTCCTTGAGAAAACCATATTGTAACATCAATCGCACAATTTATACAGAAGTCTCAATTGAGGTCACAAAACCTATTCAGTCATGTGCATCAATATAGATCTCTCTATCGAACAATGATCTGCAATGACGAACGTGAGCCAAGAATGGCGTATACAAGAGATGTTAAAGTAGTCCTTAACAAAAAGTCTTGATAATCTTGGCACTCAAATAGGATATAATCTGGTTTTACTAATAAACTTGATGTTATAATTTTTTTTAAGTTGTTTGTGATCAACCTAACAAATTCCTCAAAGTAGAAATCTCATAAGAAATTAACTTCTTTTCTGGAGAAAATTAGATCCGAACACCATCATCCGAACAATACATATAACCAAATGTATAGAAAAATTTATATTTATTAATCAATGGTGTGCAATAACGAATATTAGATTAACATATAAAAGAGAGGTTAGGGGTTTATAGCAAAGAGTCTTGGCACTGTGAAACCAATTTGATTACCACCTAGTTTCAATGAGATTTTTAATGATTTGTGTTTGATCAGCTTTTTAAATTAGTTTGTGTAAAAATCTACTAAAACTTTTTTATAGAGAGAACTGAATTATAACATCATCCTAATAACTTCTACAAAAGGCTATACTAACGTCACCCAACCTATTCATTCATGAGCGTATCTATCAAACAATAATCTGTCATAACGAACGTAAGCCGCATGTGATGGTAGAAGGGATCTTTTGTGGTTCTAATAAACACAATGTTGGCACTTAAATAGGCATTGGTCTCGCTATGATACAATTACAGCAAATCAATTTAACCTAATAATTTTTCCGAAAATGATCGGGTCTACGCTCCGGAGTCACTAGTCGCCAGCGACGACCAAGTGCCGTTCAACATCCCTCAAAGGGACTAAATAAGCAGGTCGCAGCGGGTTACAACAGCAAACTAATAATCTTGTTAAGTATATGTGGTCAACTTAGTGAATTTCGCAAAGTAGAAATCTTGTAAGAAGTTGACTTTTTTTCTGTAGAAAAACATATGTTAAAATTATTCGAGCAACTTGTACAGAACCATTTACTGAGGTCATTCAACCTATTTAGTCAGTTGTATACCTGTAAAAAAGTGATCTAAAATTACGAACACTAGCCGGAGGTGTCGTTTAAAAAGGAGCTGTGATTTTTCTAACAGACTTCTTAGTATTTAAATACGCATTGCACTCGTTGTAAAGAACATGACAGGATACAATTTAGTCTCAATAATAAACTTAACTTTATAATTCTTAAAAAGTTATCTATGGTCAGCTCAGCTAATTGGTCAAAGTTAAAATCTTTTGTCTGAGAATTATTTTGAAACATTTAATTAAATGTTTTTATATGATATTTAGAATAGTTTTACACTAGAAAGGAATTTAGGTTCCCTCTTAAATGAGTCTCTGTATAAGCAGCTTTAAGTAAAATTACTATGTTTGAATTTAGAGAAGTGTTTGTTCTTTTGTGGTTTATTTTCAACCAGTTTTCATGGAAGAACCTAACAAGGCTCTTAATTTATTTTGGTATCTTAAAGAATGTTGTCTATGCATGATATAATGCTAATTAATTCAATTTAGCTTCTTAGTTCACTACATAATAATTGTAATAAATATATTTAAATTCATATAAGTTAAATAAACTTTGTTGAATCTTTAAATAGCACGGCCTAATTTATTTTATAGGTATTTATTTATATTTTTTATTTTCAGCAAATATTTTCATATTTTTTTTTATTAATACTTTATGTATATTTATTTGGCTGAACTGGTTGATGTCAAGATACTAGTATGAATAAACATTTGGGTCCTAGGTGATACAGTGATACAGTGAAATTTTGAAATTTGATTTAAATATTTTAAAAATTATTTAAATCAAATATTTCGTTTCTCATCCTTTCAGGCATTTACTAATTCTGCTCACTTGATTGACTTTACATTTCACAAATCCACAATTTCAATATAAATTCAATTATTAACAGCTTATTAACTTGAAACAATATTGCAGAATTTTTCCAAACTATTAACTCCAGATTTTAATTTAATGTTCGCAAAAAAAGTAAACTCATTTTTGGTTCCAACAAATACCAAATACCAAATCCTAAATTGCTGAAATTGCTTTTATTTTTTGATATGATTTTCCACAATTGCAGAACATCTACGATGTAATAAAATAGAAAATTTATGTGTTAATATATGTGTGTACGTACTAATTTTAATTGGTTCAATTGTACATTCATGAAAAGTATAAAATAAAATTTTAAATTTAATATAAATATAAAATGTTTCATTTTATAGAACACGAGATTTGAGGAGGATTAATTGTCTTAACTCATCTCTATTATATGTTAGTTATTCCTATTACTATATATGGGTAAAGCTGTTCTGAAGTTCTCTTTACTTTGACTATCTATCCTAGGTTTGATATTTTTATTTTATTGAATTTTTGTTATTAGTTTTTGAGTTGCTACGTTGAGAATATTTCAAAGTTGATTTTTTTTTAAGAATTTTAACTTTCATATTGATCGTTATATTTAGCATATTTCTAACGTATAGTTCTATACTAATTCTTATTAGGCGTACTTCTATTTTTATACTAAATCTTTGCTTTTCCAGTTTATTTTTATAAATCTATATACATAAAAGAAAGTCGTGTCAGTTAGACCACTTATAAGTCAAGAACGGCTGGAGCGATTTTAATTATCTTTGATTTGTTGGAATCGTCTCCGCTCCGAATAGCAGAATACATTATAAAATATTGTAAAAATCCACTAATTTTAGCAAAAATAATAAATTTGTAAATGCTGTTTCAAACTGTTGACAATTCGACAGTTTGAGTGATATTGATTTCTTTTTAAAGTTTTTTTTTCAAATATTTCAAATATTTCAAATTTCAAATTTCAAATATAATAAATAAATATGAGCTGAAAGTATTGATATGTTTGTTTTGTGCGAGTGCCAGATTCACCATCATATTAAATCATTGCAATCTGTTGAAGATGCACAACATAAATTCTTGCAAATATATGGGCAATATGATCGAACAACTTGAACGGCGTCAAGAGATCAACACAGCAATGAAAATAGCAGTTCTTCAAGATCTGTAGCAACTACTTCATGAACATCATGCATTGGTCAGGCTGTTCAAGACAGCGCTGGAGCGCATGCCACATGATAACTACAAAGTTGTGATCAGAGCGGATAAACGACCAGCAGAAACACATTAACGCAAATTTAACGCTCCAACAATAGATTAAGTTGCAATCCTGATCGTTGGAGAAAACTTGAACACACGTGATATTGTGCTTACACGTCGCGATACTGGGCAACAGCAACAAGTATGTGAAACATACCGCTTTTGGCAAGAAGATGATGGATATCACTTCAATATAAAAATGATAAACCCATTGAATGGTGGGTATCAACATCATAGTTTTCAATTAAGAATAAAGATGTGAGTCTTACTTCTAAGATACTAATTTTACTGTTTTTAAATCAGGTGAGGAAACTACCAAGAAAATTAGTTCGTGTAATCCAAAATGGAAAGAAATTGTTTAAATGCTGCTTCCTGGACAGACATCAAGTGATCGGCACAACATCACTGCACGTGTATTCAAGCACAAAATTCGATCGCTGATGAATCTAAAATTTAATACAACATTCATTGACTGTTACGCGGTACGAAGTTCGCGGGGTCACCTAGTTATACATAATTATATCTAAAACGATAATTTCACAACGCGAGTTATTTTTCTTCCTGCGAAAAGGTCAATATCTCTAGCCAATTCTTTAAATATTTTTCATTATTTTTAATTGTGTATTGTTATATATGCATTTACTATTTCTATTTCTATCCTATCCTATTACTTATATCTTATTTTTTAGAAAGATACTTATGGTTTTGTTCCTCTTTACAGATTTCGTTTCGTATAATAGCAAGTTATGTTACTAAACGCTTGACAAACAGACATTTGAATATAATATTACAGTACATTTTCATGATATGGTTATTTTCTTATAATGAAAATAAAGTAGATACAATTTTTAGTTGTGAAGTGTCTGTTTAATCCCTACAATAGTGAAAACAATTTTACGACTAAAGCATGCTTACTCTGAGTCATATGTGTCGACTTTCTGACGAGCGTCAATTTCGATGGACTGGTTAAATAATTAGCGTTAAATTTTATAAAATCAAAATACCGGAATTATCGTAACTATCCGCTATTTACACAAAAAATATTCGTCTCGTTACACAAAATAAAGAGTGCGCATCTTCGAAACCCTAATTGCATTTCAATCACATCCCATAAAAACTAGTTTAATTTTTATTGTAGTAAATTGCGTTATCAAAACTTTAAGATTTGATCGCAAATATTATTTCACTTCCAACAGTGGAAGTGCGGTTTATGCTAATAAACAAAAATTAAGTGTCACAGCTGCTTGATAATTAACATTTATGTTATGAGCAGTGCAACCAATACATAAAAAGACTCTCCTCTTGTAGTAAATTGCTTCAACCAATCTCTAAATGATCACAAAAATTATTTTACTCCCAATAGAAGTGTGGTATATACTAATGAACATAAATTAAGCGGACAGTCCAACCAGTATATAGAAAAATACATGGTTTTATTTCTTAAAGTAAATTGATTCGCTTAATCTCTAGATTATCATACAAATTATTTTACTCCCAACATTGGAGGTGTGGTTTATGTCAATAAACACAATTTAAGCGTTGCAGCTACGTTATGTAGCATAAGGTAAGCAGCATTTACCTTATGAAAAGCACAACCAATACACAAAAAATATGTTGTAAATTTTTTTTTAGCAAATATGTAGATAATTACAAATACCATTTCACTTTCAACAATGGAAGTGTGGTATATGCCAATAAACGCAAATTAAGTCTCGCAACTGCCTTTCTGATCACATCCTTTATATTTAATTTGTAAAAAGTAAGTTGATAACTTAGTTAGTTTATGAACTGAAATAATCCTTTATATAGTAAATTGTTACCAAGATGTCTTCATTTGTATCCATGATAACAAGGGGATTATTTTATATTTAACTTTTTGACTTTTTAACTTTAAAAATTATGTTATAATTTCATTTGAGTTTTACACTAAACTCATTTGTTTTTAAGTGTATGTAGAGCTCACTTCCTTAAATTAAAACATCCTTAAATTTCCATTAAATCCTTTGGGAGTTGTATTTGCAGTTATTAACACCACTTTTTCATATTTCTTCACATTTAATGTTACTACACACCCACCTTTCTAGCCTGTGGGCGCCAAAGTTCAACAAACTTTTCCTGGAAATTAAACCGGCAACCTCAGGGGGTTGGGTAAAAATTTACTGACTAGAAGCTAACATTTTCCGTTGTTGTCGTTCTTTTTTTTTCTTTTATTTTTTTATTTTTTTTTTTTTTTGATATGTGGTTTTGCTTACGTCTTTGGGGTCAAGTACGTGTTTTGATGTGAGAATTTGCATTTTTTGTATAGTTTTTCCTTTTTATTTAATTTTTTCAGTTTTGCTGCATAATTAAGGAACCTTTTTCTTGTTGAAGCGCAAATTTTTACAATTATAATTGTTGAACAATTTAATTGTCGACGTTTAAAACAATTCGCAAATTCTTGTGGTTCCCCTTTTCCTTGGAAATTGCATGTGTCAGGCATTTAACCTGAAACGAAAAAAAACTGAACAAAAATTATGAAAACATAAAAAGTTGCATTTAATGCATTTCAAATATGTTTATAAGTACATAAATGCAGTTTGAAAATGTTTAAAAAGAATTATTTAACATATTCTTATATATTCATGTATTACTTGTATAATAATTATAAACAAATTGCGTTAACATATAAAAAAGTATGAATTATATGCCATACTTCTTTTTTATTGCTTGTTAGATCTTAGATTTATGCTCGAGTAATAAGTATTTTTTAAAAATCGTTTAAAAATAATTTTATAACATATTTTGTAATAATTTTATGGTAGATATTAAATTACATATTTATTATAATAACAAAATGTGTAAGTAGGGGAATATTACGATTTTTATTGCAATTTTTTGAAGATATTAGTAACAGCTTTGAAACTTTTCTTTAACTAATAGAGCTAATAAAAAATATAATTGCAAGATAGATATTTAATCTAAGAGATAAAATTGCATTATAATATTGTATTAAGGGTAGTGAGGGAATTGTAGAAATTAATAATACTGTTTGTATTTTGAGATCCTCAGAATTCAAAGAGCGCCTAACCAGCCATCACTTTGATACCCTTTTATAAAAATCTTAACTGATCCTTAGAATAAGGATCTGAGGATAAAAACCATCCTCAGCAGTTGATAAAGGAAATTATTTTTATAAAATCTTCGTTTGGCATGTCTGTCAAGCTCAATTGTTCGTAGACATTCTTTAGTGCAATATTTCAATCTTGCCAGGCCCAGGTATTTGCAAAGTAAGTGTTTAGTGGTGTCTTTCTTCTCTTCCTATATGTAGCTCTTGCATTTTTGTATATTATTTTCTATTACACTAAGATTTTAAAGAAATAAATAAAAATAATAAAATTAAAATTTTAAACCAAAAACTTTTAGGTGTGATAATTCGTGTAGTTCCACCATCTGTGATGGAGCATGGCAAACAGAAAATTCAAAGTGGTGTCAAAATACCATAAGAAGGGAAAGCGAAGAATAATTAATTGAAAATAAATTCAGTAATTAAATAATAATGGATGTTATAAAATTTAACAAAGGTGGATGTGGGTAAGAGGTTTATTGAAACTGACTGGATCCATGTTAAGCAATGATGTCACCTTAAGAGGACAATTTGTATAGTATGTGCTGTTAGACAATTATACCAAACATTTTTGGTGTAGAGTAGAGATAACTTATAAATTTCAAGTAGATGGAATCACGCGTCATATGTAACCTTTTAGCATATGGCTATACTCAGATTTAAATTGACTTCTTAGCATTGTTGCTTCTTTTTATTTGCCGTTCTGGAAGATGCTAACCAGGAGAGTATTAAAACTGAACTGCTATACATTCATGTCAGCAAGGAGTTGGGCTATTTGAATATATATTTGAAAAAGTACTTAGATAACAGTTGATTACCTTCTTTTATAGGTTAATTTAATTTGTATCGATGATTCAAAGGCATCCATTCAGGCTTATAGGCCCATTTTGTTACCGTATAAGGTAAAACTCAGAAGTTTAAAATAACCTTGAACCTTTGCCAAATGCTTATATCTTATAATGGTATTTAAGGGGTGGTCTTGTGGTTGACTAATATCCTCAAAAAAAGGTCGCTAGAGTGGTAAAATGGCACTGCGCTTGTGTTGGACAAGAACGAAGTAGATGGGACACTCTTCTAGCAGAGTGTCCTAATTTGCAATGACCTGTGACTGAACTTAACCCTAGGTTGATATCTCTACGGGGCATGTTAATGAGAGTCCTGTATTCTTTTTTAATGGTATGCGTGCAACTTTAATACAGATGCCTATATATCGTTGAGTCTTCCTATCTTTTATTGAAAAGTTCAGCACAGAAAGAGTTCAGTAATAATTTGCATGATGTCAGCGATATGCCTAGATTGTATAGGTGTTCCGAGTGATTTCTTAAACCACCTCGTCTGCTTTGCAGTTGTCGAAAATATCCCTATGACCTGGAACTTAGGTCATTGGGTTCCATGACCTGCGTTGACATCTCGTTTAGAGATGTGTAGCAGTCAAAAATCGTCCTAGCTGTAAGTTGGACTGAATACGTTCTTTTATAAAGAAAAAGATCGTACGAATAATGTCCATAAACCATTCCGGACAGTATTCTACGTAACGTTAGTTTTTGCAGCTGTGAGGTGTGTATTGTGATGAGGTGTGTATTGTGATGAGGTATTGCACCCTTCAAAAATTTGCTAAAAAGGTTTTCTATTATTATTGTATTTAAATATGGAAATGCAGAAGACTTGTTACTTGTGTAAAAGTACGTCACATTCAATTAAATTTATAAAAATAGATTATGATAATTGTAAAGCATAATTAAATGTTTTTATTTTTATTCTTTTACAGATGAGTGGAAAACGTTCGCGTAGCTTTAAGTGTGCTGTTCATCATCGTGATCGTGAAGTTTGTTCTGAAAATGATTTTCATTTAGTATTGGAGGAGCCGCCGTTCTTTAAAAAAATGGTTCATGTTATAGCGATGGAAGTGTTGCCCGAAGAGCGTGATCGAAAATATTACGCTGATCGTTATTCATGTTGTCCACCGCCGTTTTTTATAGTTCTTATGACATTCATAGAGGTAAGCGAATGGCACGTTCACTCGTTTATGGATATCATTACGAGCATGAGGCGTGTAATGAATGCATTTATTAAATAATAAACGTTTGTATAATAACCCCAAAAGCGGTAGCACTTTGATGTACTTCTTATATATTATGGAATAATAATAGAAATAGAAATTTTTACTAAGGTAGTACAAAATTTTTATTAAAAATTTTTATTATTTGTTAATATGCAAAAATATGTAAAAGTTGTACATAAAAAAAACATATTAAATCGCTATAAAAATTTTATATTTGCTGTTGTAATAAATTTGACAAATGTGGTAAACGTTACATGGTACATGGATTAAGTAAATATTTATTAAAACGGTAATATATTTTATATTGATTAGGTATATTTGCTTGTATAAATCAGATATATATTCCTATGTATATTAGTAAACATATGCTTATATATATTCTTTTATGTATTATTATATATGTTATTATATATATTATTAAGTATATTATTTATATGTATTATTATAAATATTATTATATATATTATTAAATATATTATTATATATATTCTTATATATATCATATATCTTTGATTATTATTTTCAAAGCTTTTAATAAATAGTCGATTTACACCCACTTTAATGCGTGCATAAATAAAATATTTAATTTAATATTCAGTAGTAGTTCATTATCCTTTTAAATATATTCTACACTCCAGCGTTGATATTAAGTATTTTTTCTACCATATTAAGTTCTGTTATTTATGCTTATTTAAACAGTTTTGTATCCACTCATGTCGAGAAAATTTTTGTTAAATATTTCGCATAGCAATTATCAGACGCGACAGAAAGTCTCGTCGTTCGCTAAAAGTTTAACTGAAGGGTCTGCAGAAAATCGATTATGAATTTTTGATTATTTAACAAAAACATTAAATTGTTTGAAATATTATATTTGAAATATAAGTAAAGTTAAATATTTCTGTTATCGGAACTCAAGTATATTTATGCCCTTCACACACAAAGTGTGAAGTGTTTTTAACAAAACTAATTGATTTAGCAATACTATTAGATTTATTTTTATCTGTTTATTGGTTTCACTAGTCCTTTAGTTTTTGAAATAATCATATAAAAACTTCCATCTATAAAAATTTGACCATTTAAATAATAATGATAAGGATAATAAAAGAAAGATTATAAGTTATCTATTTTGTTTGAAATTCGATATTTTTAAAGAACATTCCAATCATTTAAGAATGATACGTTCATCCGATTACCATTACTAATAGGTGGTACTATGGACTTAAAACGCAATTCAGATGTAAAACTCTCTCTCAACCGACATAACTTACACTCTTTAAGTCGCTTATTCTACCTATACTTCTGTATTGCGAAGAAGCATGGACTGTATCACGAAATGATGTGGTAGCACTTGGGAGTATTTGAACAAAAACTTTTCGTTAGATCTCGTAGAGATCTGCAAGCTTTGCTAGCTTGGACAAGTCATTAAAATAAATAGCTCTTCAACAAATAAGCTATTTAAAGCGACAGTTAAAGAATGATTTAGGGGAGTCTTAAAGGAGTACTGTATCTTGCTGTTCGATATTGTTCCCGCAAAATATGTTTCAGTTGTGACAATCACTTCTGCATTAAAGCCAACTCTCTTTGATTTGAGTGTTTTTTTTAAGGTACAAAAATAAGTATTAGGCGCTGAGAGTTGATCTAAATTGGAATTTCGTCATTCTTGTCATCTCGACTTTTGACAAGTTGCATTTTTTAGTGACAAAACTAGAGGACTATTTTTTTCGTTTCTAGCTTTGAATACATCGATAACACTATATAACTAGTGTCCACATTTAAATTTTTTTCCTTTCACATTATAATTTGTTATTAAAATACTAAGTGCATCCTAAAATGCGTACGGGGATCAAAAGTTTACTAGCTCCCTTTTAGTTTTAGGTATGGGCGGTTGCTCTCAATCAGCAGACGGCTGATTGATCTCAAGAGTTAGCGGCTATATTTATTCCATTGTCAGATATCAGTTAAAAAATTCTTTTATTTTGCGCTGAAACAATTCCAATAAGTAGTCGAAGCAAACGCTTTATTAATTTCAAACACTGCGTTTATATCATCAAATGTGCCTGCTGTGTTTATATTTCCTTCCAATATCTTTGAAGGATCACCTATCTGCCTAAACTTCACTTGACAGCGATTTCGTTATAATCTCATTAAAGGATTTGCTTTATTGACGCATATAGCCTTGATAGGTATCCTCATTACAAGTACCTGGTTTTAAAATGTATTATTGCATCATATATATAAAGGTTATTATTCAGATTATAGCTACAGTTATTAAACCAACCCTGAGGAAGATTTCAAAAAAACTTCGAAGCGTAGTTGATACTAAAATAAAAAAAATATATTAATTATTATAACTTTATGTTTAAATTTGAAATGTTTTGTTCACTTAAGTCTATTTAAATACATTAATTCAAAACGTTCTGTTTATTTTGGAATGTATCTTGTACGTTACAATTTTAAATGATTCAAAAAATAGTTGCTTCAAACTGGTCAAACGTCTTAAAAAGTTTAGACTAGTTGTAGGTCGTTCTGTTCTTAACAAACAAGTACATCAAAACACAATTTATTTATACTATTCCACAAAGATAAATAATCTTTGTAATTTATTTAAACACTGCCCTTGAAAATGTGTAAGCAATTAAAATCGTAGTTCCAATTAATGAAAACCGTGCGTTCCTGGACATCCAAATAATTTATACGACCGCTTTTGGTTCTGCAAGAAGGAAAATGAATGCGATGGAGAAATCGTTAAATAAATTGCGTTGCCTTTGATTTTATTCTTAGTTTAATTAGAATTTATTTGACCTAATTTATTTATGTAACAATTTTTATTTGCAGTTGGCATTCTTTGCATACCACACACTCAACACTGGTGAAGCGGAACCTGCTGGTCCGGTTCCAACCGATTCCCTCTTTATATACCGTCCTGATAAGCGTCATGAAGTGTGGCGTTTTATATTTTACATGGTCCTACATGCCGGTTGGTTTCATCTTGGCTTTAATTTATGCATACAACTACTGTTCGGTCTGCCACTGGAAATGGTGCACGGTTCAGGGCGTATCGCTTGCATTTATTTGGCGGGTGTGTTGGCTGGCTCATTAGGTAGAATTTATGATTTTATTTTTTTCTATGTAAAATGACACTTATTAATTAATATACGGATACATTCCTTATAGGCACTAGCATATTTGATCCTGAAGTGTGCCTGGTTGGTGCCAGTGGTGGCGTGTACGCCTTGCTAGCAGCACATTTAGCGAATGTCATGATAAACTATCATCAAATGCGCTATGGAATTTTTCGTCTAGTCACAATCTTAATATTTGGTTTGTATTCCCATTTATTGCATTTATAATTTATTTATTTGATTTAAATAATTTTTAAACCATTTCTGTTTTTTATTTGCAGCTTCATGCGATTTTGGTTTTGCGATATATGTGCGCTATGCTGACGAAAATCCTTTGAGCCCGTCCGTATCGTATGTGGCGCACTTGACTGGTGCACTGGCTGGTCTGACTATTGGTTTGTTGGTTTTGAAAAACTTCGAACAAAAGCTCCATGAGCAGTTATTGTGGTGGATCGCTTTAGGGGTGTACTCGGCGTGCACCATATTCGCCATCGTCTTTAATGTTTTGAATAGCAGTGTTATGCAGAGCTTCAAGGTTGAAAACGTTTACGCTACAGAAACGTTTTACAATGATTTCCAAGTATGATGAAAAGTTAATGTACCAAATGTGGTAATCCTTTGTTGCCTTTTTTGTTCCTCGCTTTACATTAATGTTTTTGTTAATAGTTTTTTTTTATTTTAATATTTAAGAGCGAATATTTTTCTAGTTCTGTAGTGTGTATATAAATTATATATATATATATATATGTATATATATGAATATCTATATATATATTAAGTTTGTATTATATTTCAAGTTCATAGTTTTATACTTTGTAAAAAATATTCAGGTTTTAGTTTTAAGTTTGTAAATAATTATTTTTTATTTTTGTTTATGATTATTTGGTATTAATAAATACGTTTTTGTAAATTTTCATTTTTTACAATTACATATAAAATTGATTATATCTTTTTGTTTAATTAACAAAAGTGCAATATTACAATATTGATAATATTAAAGACACCCCAATAAGACTTATGCTATATATGTGTATGTATAGTCTATAAATATAGAATTAAATTTTTGAAAAATGAACGTAAGTTACAAGTACAAAAAATAAAACATTACGTATTCAATACAATATTATGTATTCTAAATGAATTGTAAATTTAAAGTATTATTATATTTAAATTTATTGCGTTAAAAGTGTCATAATACCAGTTTCTTTTCTAATAATTTTATATAATAATTGTGTTTATAAAATATTATTTGACAACGGATCTAAAAGATAAGCCTATCAGAGCAAAAGTTCCCTTCGCGTTTATATAAATCAATCCTGAAAACTATAAAGAAGATATATTGAAAGGAAACATTGATATATATACAATCTGTTAAAAGTATTTGGAATTTATAATTTGAAAAACACGAGTAAACAATGTTACATTTAGGAAAAATTGTTTAATAAGTCAATTCCACTAAGCAACGTACTCGAGTGACATGGCCATCTGTGAATTTTTTTTATTCTTAAAGTTAAAATTACACAACTTCGGGTAGGGAAAGAATATAGATGTATCCTTTCAACACAGGGTTCATTTAATAGTTTATATAAATTATGTTGAGCACTGGCTGTTTTCGTTTGAATTTCAACTTAATAGGGCAACGCCACCTTTTCAATTTACTAGTATGACTTAGTTACTTGAGTAAATGAAGTTCAAAATTTTTATATTTATTTGCATTTTTTATGAAAGTGTTGAATGAATAAAAAGATATAAAAATTTTAAATATGTAACATATATAAAAAACTACATTTTATATAAATTTATGATTTGTGTAACTTTTCTGCTTTTTCGTAAGTTTGGTTCGAGGAGTTTTCGATATTTATATTATAGAATATGTTACTAAATCGTATATATTCTCCCATTAAAATATTACCCACTTGCTGATTATATATTTAAGAACAATCTGTATATTTCTCGGTTCAGAGGTTTCGTTCTTGGTTGGTGGTAATAATTATCGATAATTGATATTTTTTTCCGGAATATATTACTCAAGCGTGCATATTCTTTTGTTATAATCTTAACATTCTGTTATTTATATATTTGAAAAAATGAATACATTTGAAACCAGGCCTTCGAACCGGAACCGAACTGAAAAAAACCGAAATTTTTGTCAGAGTGGAAAACGACACCGAACCGATATATTTTTTCGATGCCATAATTAAAACTATTTTTTTTTTTGCAGAATTAGTTAATAAGTATATTATCTTATTTTGTTTATAGGTATATTTTAAATCCAGAAGCACTTAAGTCAACTGAAAATTTCATTAGTAAGTACTTTTTCTTCTTCTTACTGCGCTATTTGAAAATATATTTGTGAGATATATAAAGAGAAGTTTCTCTCTACAAAAAAAGTTTGCTTTGTTTTGTACGTAAATCCTCGATACTGGATAAAATTAATTCCCTTACAACACCTAATGATAATCTTTTTGGATTTGTAGTTTGGACATTTGAAATAGCTGTGAAAACTATTTCAATACCGTAAGGTCCTCATAAATGTAGTACAAGTCAAATTAGGTTTTTATAATCTTATACGTGAATATTGTTTTTATTTTAGGATAATAAAATATTATCCGTTATTTTCTATTTGTTGTTAACTGTAATATCCTGATAAATGCGAAGAAGATTACTAAGCTATTGAGATTCGGATCTTTGAATATAGACTTTCTGTATTCTAATTTATTGTGTGTTGATTAAGAACATTAGGTACTATTTTCGAAGAGGTACCCAGTAAGCAATGTCATGAGCTTATCTTATTAAATACTTACATTGGATATTAACCTATGGCAACCATTAAAAGATAAAACTTTATTAAGAACTTTCTTGAAGATATAAATGTTTATAAATGTATAAATGTTTATAAATATTGTATATAAATGTATTAATTTTTAACGCAATAAACGCAATAAATTTAAATAAACAATTAATCAAAAAAAAAAAATATACATAAATCTTTAGTATTATTTTAAAAATAAAAAATTAAGGCAAATATAAAATAATGTATTTAAAAAACTCAAAAAAGTTAAACAACTAAGCACACTGCCAGTCCATAGCTTTTATTTTAAATAAATTAAAGACATTAAGAATTTTAAATTATATTTAAATATTTTATATAAAGTAAAAAAATTAAAACTATGAAAGGAAAAAAATTAAATAGAGTAATAATAATAAAAAACAATCATTTTTTAAATAAAAAACTTTTCAAATAAAACCTTTTGTGTTTTGCATTTATTTAAACGAGAAACTAATCCGAAGAGACTAATCGACCGCTCCTTATAACCATTTACCATTTACTTACATTCATACAAAGATGTATACATATTAAGAAGTTGAAATTATTATAACATATATACTATAGAATGACATTGAGTGCTATTCACATTTACCATATTTTTTCCAATGTACATCATTTTGTGTTTTTTTTTTCACCATTTCCGTTTCCGCTTTAAGTCAAAATGTTGATAGCATCCAAGCAAAAGTGATTTGTCATTGTTTTGATTTGAGTTTTAGTTTTGTGCTTGTGTTTATTTGTATACAAAAACTTAAAGTATACACCCCTTAACTATCCACTGGACAAACCTCATCCAACCGTAAGTAACCGCCGCACGCAAATACTGACGAAAGAGGTCAGACTATTTGTTAGCTATTGGCACTTGGAAGGTATGTTATGCATAAGTTTTATTTGAATTAGAAATTAGTTAGCTTAATAAAATGGAATAATAAATAAAAAATAAATAAATAAATAAAAATTATAGCTTAGAAAGTACCTAAGCATGTGAGTAAATAAAGCTAAAAATTATTAATATTATCATGTTGAGGCTAGTTGAGTCAGGTTTCTTCACAACTCTTCTCTACGCCTTAACTGGATTATTGTTTATCACTTTATCAGACTAAGCAATAAATGACCTCAGATCTGCATACCTCCCCGAGGACCCTGTAACCATTTTGAGATTCGAAAACACGGTTTTGGTAAGTTTGTCAGTTTTCGTAAATAATTTCAGGGCTCTATCATAATAAAGTTAATTATAAAAAATTTTAAAACAGTCAACCTAGTCACAGAGATTAATAGATAAAAGTATAAAACATGGATTATATTCTCGTAAGACATATTTCCTCAGCCTAAGACCCGGAAAACATAAACAAATGAATAAAGTTAATTATAGTAGAGTTAATAATAATAAAATTAATAACTGTAAAAGTAAAGACGAGTAACCTAGTCAAAGAGTTTCAAGGATAAGGGTATAAAACACGGAGTATACTCCCACAGAGTATATTCACTTGGTCTTAGATCCAGAAAGCGTAAATAAGTGAATAAAGTTATATTATAATCAAGTTAGTAATAATAAAGTTAATAACAATAAAGTTAATAAGAATAAAAATTCAGACAAGAAAAGTAAAAGCAACCTAGTCAGAAAGTTCCAAGAATAAGGGTATAAAACATAGATTATACTCTCACAGAGCTCATTTACTTGGTCTAAGATCCAAAAAGCGTAAATAAGTGAGTGAAGTTAATTATAAGCAAGTTAGTAATATTAAAGTTAATAAGAATAAAAGTTCAAAGGGTCAACCTAGTCAGAGCGTTCCAAGAATAAGGATATAAAACATGGATTATGCTCCCACAGAACGTATATACTTGGTCAGAGGTTATTATCATACAGCAATAAAAAGAGATTTTGATGCATCTCGTCTGCCGGAACCAATAACGAACTAGCCTCCAAAGGACCTAGATCAGCAGATGATCAAACTGATACATTAGTTGAACAAGATCCTACTTTCATTGAAAAATCAATTAATATTCATCACAATAATCCTAATATGACTGTTAATATGCAAGATAATATTCATCTACAAAGTGGTTCAGGTCGTGGACCGAATACGGAGGCGAGATCGAATGCGACAGGAAGTGGAAATTCTTCTGATGCGGTTATGTGGATAAGACCAAGTACACCTTGTGCAAATAATTATATGAATTTTTCTAAAAATGGAATATTAATAAGTTATGGATATAGTACTGAAAACATTCAAACATCATAAACAATAGATCAGATTACAACTTCTATGGCATTAATTCCTCATTTTATTTAAGTGAAGTAGAATTTGATGTGTTACCTACAACATCAATACAATATCATTTTTATAATTGTATCTTTACCAGTAATAGAGAAAGGGAAAAAAGAAAAATGTAGAATAAAAATTTAAGCGTCTGTTATAGTGCCAATTAAGACGAAATGTAATCTATATAAATCTCAAATATAGATCTCAATATAAAAAAAACTTAAATCGTATTATATGTTTTTGTTTTTTAATTTTAAAAAGGTTAAAGGAAACAATTATGTTGATGTTGATACACGTTAGAATTTATTAACAACTCTTTTCACGTATTACTATATATTATCGAAAATAATCTGAATCCAAAAATGAAAGCTTGTTCACTTTATTATTTCTCTATATATCTACTTGGTTGCAAGAAAGGGATGCAATTCAGTGCATTTTTCAAGCAGAATATATAAAATTATTGAAGAGAGAGTGGATAATTCTTGCTAAAAATTATAATTAAAATGTATTCAATATATAAATATTTTAAGTATTTTAATAAAAAAAAAAAAATTGTAGGAATTGATATTTAGAATATTAAAGTTAATTAGTGAATAAAATTCTAAAGAAAGTCCTTTAACATTCGTTAAGTGATGTAGTCATATTAGACAATTTATTATTGCTATAATGTTTTGATATGAATTAATAAATGTATGAATACATAATTAAATGTATATATGATTAATATAACATTTATAAACTAAACATTAAAACTCTAACAATTTTTAATATATAATAATTAATTTAGTCGCTAGTATAGAGCAGAGCTGTAAACAAAATAAAAATTATACTTCCAAGTTTTTTTATTATTATTGTTGAATATTTTTGTTTTATTTTATTATTTATTTATTTTCGTCATTAAAATCATATACCGAATAGTTTAATTTATTGCTGTCATTGTTAGATCTGTCTATATTTATGGTTTAATTATTATATTTAATAATATATATCAATATCAAAAACAAATCAGACCTTCAATTCTAAACCCTATTATTTAAAAAATTTTTTAGAATAGTATGAATAAGCTATATTACAGCACTTTTTAATTTCATTCATATTCAATAAGGTATATATAATAAATTCTTGCAATTAAAGATTGAGGACAACTTCTATTTATATAAAGTTTAATATTTGATTATCAAATTGAGGGCACACCTGCCTTCAGAGTGATTATGTAAAGCACTAAGATAAGTGTGAATTATGTTATCTATATTAATTATTGTTCGTCATTAATTATTTTTATATTAAGTTATTCTGTTATTAGTAACACTATCTTTTGTCATATTTATTTTTGATTACAATATATCAAATCGCATTCAATATATCAGATCATAAATGGCAAACTAGGAGTTACAGTTCGTATACAGCTACAGATATATATTAATATTTATAATGATTACTCTCTAAATAATATTAACATATGTGTATAATACAATATATTATAACTTTATTGGTATTCTAAAAAGCAACTCATATATACGACGTCTTATAAGACGCTATGATACATAACCTCTTTACAGTTTTGGAACACTACTTACCTGATTTTTTACAAACGAAATATTTGGGATTTGTGTTATGTATCATTGAAATAAGAACCTCATGCAATATTTTCAATTAATATTTTAATTTTATGGTACATTTAGAATCAGATACAGTATATTATAGATGACTATCATATGTCGGCACTGGTTTTAGAGTAATCTTACATATTTGAAATTCTATGCTTAATTGTGACTTTCGTCGAGGTTGTAAGAAGCCTCGTTTGATATTCATTTATAATAATTAAAACTTTTTTTTATATAGACTCTTTAAATAAATCTAGAGCCTAGGTGTAGCCCAAGGCATTAGATTTGAAATTATATATAAAACAATAATGTTAAACCGAAATCCAGTACCCCATATCCGACTAAAGTATGATCGCACTGTGACTTTTTTCAAGGTAACCAGTAGTGTTATTTG